TGTCTTGACCATTTCTTTTGCAAAAATTACAAATCCCCATTAGAGTTCGTCCAGGCAAATTAGAGATGAGATAACTACGACCAAAAGATACTTTATGCTAAAGCTTCAAGTATACTCCTCTATGCTGCCTCAAAATTTTGGTTTGCATTGTGCGCTGTGATACCTGTTGAATTCATTTCACCAAGCCTGAATGAGTTGAGGCTGGGCTTTGACTTGGTGATTTATCCTGGCCTCAACTCGACTATGTTTTATCTTGGATAATTATCCTGTTACTACTTAAGCCATCGTGGTGTTATTTAGAATGTTTCTGTACATGTTATAACTCGTGATTCCTTGAATTCAAGAAAGAAAACTCGTTCCTCAGGAAGAGAAGCAATCGGAAAGTAGCACACTTTTTCCATCACACTTACTAGAAAGAATCTGGTCTTTGCATCTGGTGAAATGGAGTATTGTGAGGTTTATTTTCCACAAAGCTGTTGTGCTTATTTATATCCAGTGGAAGTGTAGCGTTTCAACGATTTGTTGTGACTAATTGGTTTTCATGGCTATATCATGCATGATATCCATCGCTGTCTTCGTAGGGTCATCTTGATCTTAGCGACCGTTCGATAACTCCCAGGAACAAATTCCATTAGTTGTTACTAAACTGGATTGAAATGTCTCAATTACAATTTGAATTATTTATGTATATTTTTAAACTCTAATACAAAGAGGAATTTGTGTCGCATATTTATCATCGTTCCAATTAATGGTGTCAGACCTCAAAAACAAGTACATCCAAGGGATTTGTGATGGTTCGTTTACTCTCCAAAGTTAATTCCTATCATCATCTTAATCTTGCTTTCGATCAAAACTCCGTTCATTTTAACGGATTTATATCGGCTCATTTCACAAAATAATCTCAAATGTGACATGATGCGACAATAATTAATTTTAATTTTTTTTTATTTTGAAAACGATTTTAAATCTACTACTAATCATAATATTAACCAAATAATATTTTTACACTTAATGAAAACTTTTTTTGAAACTTTTTTCATTTTTATTAGAAATAGAATAAAACAAAGACGGCTTGTCACCAACCGCTCCCTTTTTCTTTCTCTTTCGATTTCTTAAGCACACTTGAATTTACATGAGTATGCTAACGTTTCTCCTCTTCACGTTGTCGTCGTCGGCGTAGCGTAATATCCCGGAGGCACTTGTCTGGCCAATTAATACTAGTTAAGCGGGACCCGTCTACGGACGTCTGGCCGCGGTCTAATTACACCCGTTCCTCAATGACCGGGACCCGACAATTTGCTTAAATTGCGTCAAGGGTAACCCAAATAATCTCGTGTTCTTCGAAAAATCAATATTCCAACATAAAGTTTTGTTATAAAAAATTTATTTTATGAACGATTTTAAATAAAAATTTCATGTAACTCACAATACAGTGTGTTAATTAATTATCGTACCCGACATCATCATTGCAAGTATGCAACCAATATCACAGTATTTTTATTGCAATACGCGATTTGCGTACGATGCGTATTGCACTGTGATATTGGTTGCATACTTGATGACTTCGGGTACGATAATTAATTAACACACTGTATATGAATGCAGTAACCACATAAAATGCAACATAAATAGTTTAATAGTACAGGTATTGGGTAGTTTCGTAAAGGAAAATTTTTGCTTGGAAAAGGTGACGTTCTTATGATAACTCTGAATTTTCGTCTTAAGACGCACGGGTAAACCCGAATATTTCTAGTTCTAGGTCTAGTGTCTGTTCTAGTTTTGCACTAGCACTGTTACTATTAGAACTAACACTATACCTAGACCTAGAATCATTTGGGTTTAGCCGCACGTCTCTAAAGACGGCTAAACCCGAATGATTCTAGTTCTAGGTATAGTGTTAGTTCATTTTGTGTACTAAAATGTCAAAAATAAGTAACTAATTAGTATGTATTTACTAGTTGTTATATAATTGTGCCATTCACAATATACATATACAAGGTGAGTCAGAAAGAATGGGAAACTCGAATACCGGAGACACTACACACCAAAATATGACGATTTAACCTAACATCTCTTATAAAAATGTCGGTGGTTTTCAAGGCTTATTTCGAAATTTCTTAGATACACAAACATGGTGAATTAGAACCAGAAATTTGAAGGAGCTTTCAATTCTACACAAAAAAGATAATCTTGCTTACATTGTTTAAGTCTACTGGTTGCCAAGTTATCTGCTTTTAATTGTTTCAAAGTAATTTTAATGTTAATATTTAAAATAAATAACACACAGTAACTATAGCAATTAGTAACGATAATAATCGATAACAATAACAATTAATTAATAACAATAGAATATTATGACATATTCAAAAATCCAGTGGATTTAAATCTGGATTTCTCACTATTAAAAAACTAATTATGTCGTGGCGTTTTCAAATTGATAATAACTTTATTGGTGGTAAAAATGATTATTGCACACGGAAATTAGATCAATGTTGACAATTAATAAACAATTGTCGAAACATATAAATAAATCAACTTTGCTTATGTTAAAAAAGAAAAATTTTAGAAAAAAAAAATACATTTAAACATTTAAAAGTAAATAATTCGAAAACCGATAGATTTGGACAATTTAAATAAGAGTACCTTTTTTGATGTAAAATTGAATGCTCTTTGTGATTTGTAGCTCTTATTGGTCGTAGTTCGACAGCCAAAAAACTTATGATTTGATTTATCAAACGAACATAAAACTACCAAGTTTTATGTTAATAGTACAAAAAGCTTCAAAATTATCAAGAAATTTCGCCTCGAAAACCACTCACATTTATATAAGAGATGTTAGGTTAAATCATCATATTTTGGTGCTTAGTATCTCCGGTATTCGGATTTTCTATTCTTTCTGACTCACCCTGTATAGATAGATATGTTAGTGCAAAATATATGGCAAATACATGAACTAATTACTTATGGAGACTTAGATCAAGTTACTTTTAGACACAGGATTGCTGCATTACCATTTACACCAACAACAAAAGAATTGTGTGTCAAACTGGGTTTCCTCTCTTCTCAGAATATTAACATACGTTATAGTTTTTATCACACAGTGCAACAACAGTATGACTAAAGGACTACATACACTCATATCATCCAATGCTATGTATGCCTAATATGCTATAATGTGAAGTCAACATTGTTGTAAGTTTTGACTATTAAAAGACTTGAAACGGTACAGTGTTGTATAAGAAGGTTGGAAAAATTCACACCAATTTCTCAACTTCAGTTTCTTGGTAATTAGACATTTGAATCTTTCTGCACCATAAATTTATCGAACCTCAACAAAATGAAATTACTTGAAAAATCGTAGCTAACGTTTCTGCACAAGTTTTTATCGGTGCTTATAATCTGCTATTGAAATTCCTAACATCATCGACTTGTTATTAGTATTTATGCACTGAGCACATTTAAGTTTTGCCTTGACCAGCACCGTCTTGGTCATTTAGGCATTAGTTCCTCAAGTTCAATTCTGCCATGACCTCTTTCATATAAAGCTGCATTATCAAAAGCAGGGTGTTATAGACCCTTTAGATAAATGTTGCCAGCGATTGCCTTATCTGCCCTGACAGTAATTTCGGTTCCTGATAACAACGACATAAGTTATCAAATGTATTTGATAGGTCAATATTTGCACATCTTCGCGGTTTAGCCGCATGTCTCTAAAGACGGCTAAACCCGAATGATTCTAGTTCTAGGTATAGTGTTAGTGTGATGTTAGTTGTAGTTTTACACTTGCACTGTCACTAGAACTAACATTGGATACATTTGGGTTTAGCCGTACGTCTCTTAAGACGGCTAAACCCGAATGATTCTAGTTCTAGGTCTTGTATTAGTTCTAGTGATTGTGCTAGTGCAAAACTATAACTGACACTAGACTGAGAACTAGAAACATTCGGATTTAGCCGCACGTCTCTCACGACAGCTAAACCTTTATACAATAAAATCTGGTTCAGAACGGATGTGCACAACATTAATGTCAGGTTTCGCGAGCACCAAACCAGAATTCGTCAATCAAACGTTTAGCTACTATATGTCTAGTCTTTGGAACACTCTACCCGAAGGATTTATTAAACTATTTTATCGGCAGCAGTCACTCTGATATACGCTCGCGTCCCATCCACATTAGGTCTCATTTACCGTGTATATTTTTATTTTATTTTAATGTTTTCTTTGCGCATTTCTGTGAGAGGATGACCATTTCCAGTTTTGCCAATATGTGTATAAATGCCAGCTCACTTTATTTCGTAATACTTTCGCCTCATGCTGGTAATATTATTATTAATTTTGTCAGGTTTTCGGAATGTATTATAGGTTAGGTAGTAGAGCAGTCTCCGGACTGAACCTCACCTATACATATAGCAAATCATGTTAGTTCTAGTTTTAGTTCAATAAAAATATGCAACATAGTGATATCTTATGCTAACTAGCACTACCTATCTCTGTCACTAGAACTAACACTAGATCTAGAACTGGAACCATTCGGATTTAGCCGCACGTCACTGAAGACGGCTAAACTCGGATGATTCTAGTTCTAGGTGTTGTGTTAGTTCTAGTGATAGTGCAAAATTAGAACTAACACTAGACCGAAACTAAAAACATTCAGATTTAGCAGCACGTCTCTCAAGACGACTAATATGCAACATAATGATATTTTATGCTAACTAGCGCTACCTACCAGCCGTTTGAAGAGAGGTATAGCTAAACAGAATGTTTCTAGTTCTAGATCTAGTGTTAGTTCTAGTGTTAGTCTAGTTTTATTTGTTATTCAGCGCTAGATTGTTGCATATTTTTATTGAGTTATAACGGACACTGCGTTCCCCGTATTGATCCATTATATCAAGGTTTTACTGTAATTAATGTCAAATTATATGGTTTCTATACAAATATATTTTTGTACATTGCATCTTAAGTGAAATTCACTGTATAAATATGTTATTATTTATTTTTAGGCCGGAAAAATCGGACTTGGACCGACCGGGCATCCCGGAGCGGCTTTGCCATTCTTCTGCCACGCCAATGGAGACCCATTGTCACAACCACCACCAGCCCACATGGGAATACCACCATATCAGTTGGATGCGAAGGCCGGCTCAATGGGTAAGTAACACTTCAGTAATTGCTTTCAAATTAGTTAAACTGAACTAATCGAGAATCTCTTGAGTAACTTGTTAACCAAATTATGTGCAACTCCTAAATCAGTTGAGATCGATTTGAATCTGACCGAAAAATATGATTTAAAATTGATGTCATGTCAATAAATATATATATGAAGCTGTGAGGGGTGGGTACGGGGACGTACTGGTAAAATTGGTGACGATGGTGGTGGCGGCGGAACGGCGGCACGGAGTAAATTAGATTCTCGAAGTTCAAAGGCGCGCCGCTCCTCTTCCGTCGAATTACGAAAACACCTCCGAGTCTTTTGACGAGGCGAAGAATAACGGTCGGGGGGCTCTCCGAAGCGCAAAGGGGGACGCTATACGCAAACGACCGGGATAATTAGTATAATGAGCGGCCGCGCGATCCGCCTCCTCTCGTCACTACAACATTCTCCTTTCCCCCCTAAACGCAATACCACGTTAAGATATTATTGAGCTTAAATTTTATGTTTTGCAAATAACCACTTTTTAAAAAAATCTTTTGTCCTATTTTTTAATCTTTCGTATTATAGTAGGGAGCAAAATGAGGTCTATTCGTGTGTGCAATGGCTACTTAGGCTTCAGCGAAAATTCCGCCCATCGTCAAGGTTTTCTCTGGAGAATGAAAGGGCTTCTTCCCGAGGGCGGCCGTTTTAGTTTGCAAAATTGATGCGAACCGATTCAAACATTATGACACGCGCGGGGGGCGTTATACAATCGGGTTTGCAGAGCGCGCAATTCATGTTCCCGTTTACCAAGAACGGATAGAGGAAAACGGATAATTCACCGTTATTAAAAGGGTAGCGAATTGCTGGGGCGGTGCCGTCGCGACGGCTAGAACTGCGGGGCCACGTCGTCCTTCTTGTTCCGACGCTCACCGACACCAATTATTATTTAATAAGGACGAAGCGCTTTTTTTTATTCACCGAACGAAATTAACCACCTTTTTTTTTACCGCGATAAAAAATTTTTTACCTTTTTCTCTCTTCATGGATGTATCGGCGACGACGTCGACGCTTAAGCCCTGCGTAATTATTAACTGGGTACTAGAGAAAGGGGGATTTGAGAGGTTGTACGTTGTACGGGGGGAGAGAAAAGGGTTGATTGTCGCCCGATCGTGTGCGTGTATACGAGACGGATCTTGTGACCCTCCTAGGGTGCAATCGATACTTCAGGGTTGAACCGAACCACCATCATTTACTCTTCTCCATGTTACATTAACAACTTTAAACAATTCTTACTTTTATAATTTCTATAAATAAATAAACAAATAAAATAACTAATTTAAAATAGTACTCATTTCTAGGAAAAGAATAAATAAAACGTAATTATTAACAACAAAGTAATTAAAAATATTTATCATTTCATTTATAAAGAATAATTAAAGTTCTTTAAATAACACTTGATATTTTTTCAACTCCAGATTTTATTATTTTCGTTATTAATTAATTTTCGGCTAGATTTAGATTGGTGTGACGAATTAATACGATGTAAAAGTTAATTTCCTGATTTCATCGCTCGGTTTTAAAAAGCTTTGTTTACGACGTAATCTAAATGCATAATCTAGATTTGAGATTTAATTAATGAAATAAAAAATCTTGATTTTCTTTAAATTATTTCCCACACATTTCAATCATTTCTCATATCATTCTTTACAATACCTTTTCCATTAATTATTTATTGCAATTTTCTACGAAAATATTCATGAAATTTTATTAGTTATTTGAGAACTATTTGATACTAAATAAAAGTGACAAGAAAGCAAAAGCCTTTGCAAGAAACACGATATCTAACTAGTAACGTATTTCGAAACGGATTCCTCTTGAAATTACTACCACCAGCTAAGTCTACTCTCTTCTCCTCGTTGAGAAAACAAAGATTGCAAATATACTTCTAAATGATGTTGTTCTAAATAAAATAGAACAAAGGGAGGTAAGAGAACAACCACTACAAAAACTATTATTTTGAAGAACTCTTCTTTGTGAAAGCCTGTTTTAACATAGAAAGAAGTTTAGTGGTCTATATCTCCACCAATGTACTTCTTGAAAGGGCGCTTCACGAAGAATACCATGAACAAGGCTGTAAAAGTAATAAAATAATCTATGTGCAAATATTGACATCTCAAATACATTTGATAACTTACAGTGTTGATTATCAGGAACCAAATATACTATCAGGGCAGATAACACAATCGCTGGTACCGTTCATATAAAGGATGTATAACACCCTGATTTTAAGAATTCAGGTTTATATGAAAGAGGTAATGGCAGAATTAATTATTTTCCTACGAAACTAATGCCTAAATGAACAAGACGGTGCTGGTTACGACAAAATAACGACTTAAATGTCCTCATAGTATAAATACTAATAACAAATCGATGTTAGGAATTTCAATAGAAGATTATAAGCACCGATAATAACTTGTGCAGAAACGTTGCAACGATTTTTCAAGTCATTTCATTACGTTGATGTTCGATAAATTTATGGTTTACCGTAATGGAATTGAATGATAACATATTTCGTTGAATTTTTCTTACAGAAAGTGTATTTGTTCCGTTGCGTTACCAGTTCAGTATGCATTGCATCCAGTGCACTTTTGCATGTTTTACCCTGTTTTGCCCATGTTTGCAGAAAGATTCAAATGTGTAATTACCAAGAGATTGAAGTTGAGAAATTGGTGTGAATTTTTCCAACCTTTTTATAAAACATTCTATAGTTTCAAGTCTTTTAATAGTCAAAACTTACAACAATGCTGATAATTACATTGTAGCCAAGGACAGTAGAATCTAACAGGACTGCTACATCCATTGTATTTTTGTAGTCCACTACGGGTTGGTTGCCCGCACTCTACGTTACACTATTTGCCACGCCTGGTAACTGTCTGTGTTTTTAGAGGTTATATGATAGACATTAATACGTCTAAAAACATAAAACTTCAAAAATAATATGAATATGTCTAGGATATAACCTTTAAAAATACACAGCAAACGCATAGACCATAACAACAGCTGGGCGTGGAAAATGGTGTGACGTAGTTTGCGGGCAGGTTGTCACAACAATGGATGTAGCAGTCCTGTTAGGTTCTACTGTCCTTGATTGTAGCATATTAGGCTGTAGCATATTCCTTTGAACATAGTGTTGTTGTACTGTGTGGCAAAAACTACAACGTATGTTAATATTCTGGGAAGAGAGGCAACCAGTTTAACACACCATTTTTTTGTTGTTGGTGTAAATTGTGATGCAGCAATCCTGTGTCTAAAAGCAACTTGATCTAAGTCTCCATAGTTATTTTGCTTTCAATTGGTATATCAAAAAATGGTATATCACCTACAGGTGAATTCCTCTTTATTTCGGAGATATTGAAGGAATTAAAAAACTTAACAGTTAGTCTTGGCGATTTAACGTTTGACAAATTAATGATTTTTGTGCTGTCTTATTAATTTAAGCCATTATGTCGCATTTTACTAATCCAGGATATGGTTTTCGTATATGGTTTTTGCAATGGAAGTGCAAAAGTGACTCACGTCATCCTGTAGAAAGAGATGGAAATTGGCACGCTGAAGCAGTTTTAAATGCAGTTAAAGGAAGTTCTTCCACCTGTACTCGTATAATCTCATACCATCTGAAACAACGGGAATCCCTCAAACCAACGTAAGGAGAATTCTGCACTATGATGGCCTTTATCCCTCCCTATCATTTACAAAAAGTCCAAGATTTACTTCTTCAAGATTTAGAAAATCGAGTACGGTATTGCCAGTGGTTACAAAATAATTTAGAAGTTATTTCATACATACTTTTTACGGATAAGGCCCAGTTTACAAGGAATGGTATTAACAACACACGTAATTCTCAAATCTGGACGGATCAAAACCCACACGAAACAATCGTTGTTAACCATCAATATCGTTTTTCCGTCAACACGTGGTGCGGCTTGTTAAATAATCATCTTATTGGGCCTCATTTTTTTGAAGGACGTCTTAGTGCAGAAATTTACCTTCACTTTTTGGAAGAAGAATTGCCGAATTACATGGAAAATATTTCTGTAGAAGCTCGTCGTGACATGTGGTTCCCATAACATGGGGCACCACCACATTTTGGGAGACAAGTGACGATATTTCTTAATAAAAATTTTCCGGAAAGGTGGATAAGGACGAGGTGGTCCTGACTTGTCGCCTCTAGATTTTTTTCTGTGGGGTTGCCTCAAATCTCGTGTGTATAGCAGTAATCGTAAACCAGATACACGCGAAGAGTTGATTGGCAGAATAGTTGAAGCTACTAATTCGCTAAAGAATGAATTGGCAGTAATTAACTGGCAATATTCTATGACACGAAAGATAGCTGCATGTTTAGAAAATGCGATTCTCATTTTGAACAGCTGCTGTAATTTTGTGTTAATTGACTTCATTTTTATTTTTTTTGTTTTTTTTTTCATTTTTATTTCGATATCTCCTAAACAAATATATCACCTATAGGTGATATAGCATTTTTTGATCGAAATGACCCACTGAATATATGGTATAAGTTTGTCGGTCGATTCACGGAACACCCTGTATATTGTGCATAGCACAATTATATAACAACTAGTAAATACATACTAATTATAGTTTTTGATTGAATTTAACGCCAATTGTAACTTATTTGCTGCAACTTCTTCATTATCTGCAATAGCCAAGTACGCTATGTCATCTGCGAATGTAGCTATTAATGTTTCTGGTATCTTATGAAGGTCGAAGGTGTAAAATAAGTACAGTGTTGAGCCAAGCACAACTTTTAGTCTTTTTAATAGTCACCTTTCAAATAATTTTGATAGTAACGATAATAATAATATTGGCCTATATGATGCAACATCCAAGGGGGGTTTACCAGATTTTGGTATCAGTATTATTTCAGCAACTTTCACAACATATCAATTTAATGTGTAAGATGAGGAAAATACCATTTATTACAATTTCTCTGTAACAC